ACATAAGGCCTTGAGCTTCACTTAATTAGGATTACTTTCTTCTTCTCATATATTGACATATGCTTTCAATTCTGTAAAACATATAAACAATCATTTCACAAATCATGAGGTGAAATTATTAATGGATTTACATATAATACCTCTTAAGTGTCCTTAGTCTATCAGGCTTCTAAAAAACATTTTTTAGCAATCTAGAAAATAAAATTTGGCATGAATATATACTTTTTTATTGGTCAAAAGGAAAAACCCTACCATGTGCAATTTTTAGTTTTATAAGGATTCCCTCCTGTCCTGGCCAGTTATGTCTAATTTTGGCTCCAGAAACAGAGTGTGCCTTTAAGTGAAAAAATAACAAGTATAATTAATTGTGAGTCTCAGAATATGAGAAAATAGTCTAATGACTAGGCAAGTAATCCTTTTAGTGGTTCCCAAGTTTTTGCTCTTAAAAAAATTAAGCAGTCGGCCAGGTGCAGTGGCTCATGCCTGTAATCCCAGCACTTTGGGAGGCTAAGGCAGCAGATCGCCTGAGGTCAGGAGTTCGAGACCAGCCTGACCAACATGGCGAAACTCCGTCTCTACTAAAAATATAAAAATTAGCCAGGCGTGGTGACAGGCCACTGCACTCCAGCCTCGGTGACAGAGTGAGATTCCATCTCAAAAAAAAAAAAAAATTAGGCAGTCATCTGATAGACCCTTTAAAATAATTAATTTACAAGTTTGGCATATAATTGTGATTTTGGCATATAACTTGGAAAGAGTTCAAGGAACTGAATGACACTGCTATAACATTCCCTGGTCAGAAGGCTAATATTGCCATTAGTTACTGCACCCTGAGGCCAGTCAAGTTTGAATGAAAAAATCATTTAGAGAACAAGAGAACATCTTATGGATTCTAACTAATCTAAATGTACCAAGAAAGTAAAATGCCTTTGTTTCTCAATAGAGGTAGGTTTGCAAACTTTTATGAAGAACGAGGAAGACCTCTATTGTAGGGGAAAGCATTCTCAATCTGAAAGTCCATCTCCACTAAAATAAGCTATTAAGTAAAAAATCTGAGACTCAACCCAGGTGTTCAGGGCAGAGTCATAGGAGAGGCATCTTTAAAAAACAAGCTTCTGGATTTTTGGAGCTACAGAGGAGATTAACATTTAGCTTGATGGAAAGTATTCTAATAAGACACAGATGAATTACTCTGAGGACCTTCTGGAATGTTATCAGAATCTTGGAGATTAGATGAAGAGAAAGGATGGCATATTCGTGACTAAGGAAAACTAAGGCTAACTGCTTTAAAGATGAGAGTCTAGGGTGGACTTCAGAACACTAGAGGTGGCTTTTTGCTATATTTCAAAGCAGAGCTTTACAGCCAAAGTTGCTTGATTATTGAAGAGGAATCTGCCCTCCTTCAGGTCCGTGGTACTGTGACATGGCTTATAAGGCTTGATTCTACCACATCTGATAGTACGTGTTTCCATCTGATAGATTGATGAAACTCACAAATTCACCCCATGGTTGTTCTGGACCACTCCTCCATGACAGAGAATGAAAATCTCTTGTTTGGTAATCATCTCCCATATGATCCTTTACAGTGATTGCAGTGTACCCATTAACAAATTTGGTCCTCAGCTGGGTGTGGTGGCATGTGCCTGTATTCCTAGCTACTCTAGAGGCTAAGACGGAAGGATTGCTTGAGCCCAGGAGTCCCAAGTTGCAGTGCCACTACATTCCAGCCTGGGCAACAAGAGAGTGAGTCCTGATCTCTAAAAACCAAACCAAAACAAATTTGGTCCTCACAAAAACTGTATGACATAGGCATGCCAGATGCCCGGAATGTATGTTTCCATCAATATAAAGTTCAAAACAAGCAGAACTAATCATTTTATTAGACACTATGTTGGTTATTACTTTTCAGAAGACAAAAGGGAAAAGTGACTGGGAAGGAGCATGATAGGGCCTTCAGTGGGTGCTGTTATCTTTTTTTTTTTTTTGAGACAGGGTCTCGGCTCTGTCGCCCAGGCTGGAGTGCAGTAGAGCGATCTTGGCTCACTGCAACCTCTGCCTCCGGGGTTCAAGCGGTTCCACTACCTCAGCCTCCCAAGTAGCTGGGACTACAGGCACGTGCCACCACGTTCAGCTATTTTGTATTTTTAGTAGAGACGAGGTTTCACCATGTTGGCCAGGCTGGTCTCGAGCTCCTGACCTCAAGAGATCTGCCTGCCTCGGCCTCCCAAAGTGCTGGGATTACAGGCATGAGCCACCGCATCTGGCTGCTGATGTTATCTTTACCTGAGTGTTTAGATAAACCATGGTGTGTTTATTTTATAATTCACTGAGCTACATACAGATGATCTGTGCATTTTCTCTATGTAACAAAAACTTCATTATTTAAAAAAAAAGCTATCATTTTAATCACTGCATCAGAACCACCCATAAAAAATATTTAATAGACATATGTAGCTAAAAGATGCAGTAAAAATACTGAATGTACTATAAAGAGAAACCACTGATTGTGAATGTAAAATTACTTGTTCAACTACTTCCATTTATTCTTACCCATCTAAAACCTAAAGTAAGAAGTAAAAATTTAAAAAGATACATAGGAGGACAAAGATATTCTACAATAGTTGAGGATACAGCACTTTTTCCTAATGTCACCCATATTCCTCACCTCTATCCTTTTCCCCCTCTTGTATTTTCTTATTTTCCATAATTCTTCTCTACTTTCTTTCCTATTTCCTCTAATCCTCCAAGGTATTTTCCTAGGTAACTGGAGATTATGAAACAAGGGCATATTAGGAAGCTTCCTGGGTTAGCCTGGGACAAATGCAGCTTTCTTTCAGGTCTCTTATTTTTTCTCCTTGTCCTCAAATTCCATAGTTTTTTTCTGACATCTCTTTTTCTCACATCTCTCCCTTTGTTTCCACCTCCATTCCTTTCCAAATTATACCCCCAGAGTCCACCTAAAACACACAGAATAGAAGGTGATCAACCAGTATTTTTTCCCATAAAATTATGTTCTCCAATTTAAGCAAGATTAAAGCCATAAACACTGACATCTGTATGGCTGTACAGAGAAAATATAACCAGTAGTTTTCTTGGACAAATAAAAAGGAAGAGATGCCTCTGCCTGTCTTTATGATTCTCCACATTTCAAAATTCTGCATTGGTTTTGAACTCTTTTTCTGGCCCCAAACACCTGAGGGACAGGACATTCCCACCTGTAACAGTGGTGTGATGGTTAGTTTTATGTGTCAATTTCGCTGGGTTGTGGTGCCCAGATATTTTCTCAAACATTCTTCTAAAAGTTTTCATGAAGGTTTTGTTTGTTTGTTTGTTTTTGTTGTTTTGGATGAGATTAAAATTTAAATCAGTGGACTCTAAGTAAAGCCAATTAACCTCCATAATGTGGCTGGGCCTCGTTTAATCAGTTGAAAGCCTTAAAAGAACAAAGATTCATATCCCCAAAGTAAGAAGAAATTCTGCCACTAGACTGCCTTTCGACAAGAACAGTAAATCCTCCCTGCGTCTCCAGCCTGCTAGATTTTGAATTTTAAAAGCCTCCTTAAAATAAACTTTTCTCTCCCCTCACATCCCATTGGTTCTGTCTGTCTGGAGAACCCTAACTCAAGTAACAAAGATAGTGATCCTTAACAAGAGATGAAGGGGAGGAGGACTCTAAAGAAAAAGCACAGGGGCTGAGGTGATGGATAATTTTGGAAAAGTCAGGTGCTGAGTTTATGGCTTACCTACTATTACCATTCACTAGCCTTCCTCTACTATAGAAGCTGGAGTGCTAAAATGAACTTTCTTGCTTCCCTTGCAGCTAAGGGGTAGTCATGTGACACAGTTCTGGCCAAAATTATTGAGAAGGGCCTCTTTCTCAAATAAAAAGCCCAAGTACCATTCTTCCTGCCCAGACTAGAAAGAATTCAGACATAAAAACGGTGCCTGCAAGAGTTGATATGCAGCTCTGCCACTGCTGTCACCATTCCCCAGTATTCTATACACAATATTCCAAATAAGAGTGAACGTAGAATTTGCGTTTTTAGGTCAACCTATATTCTGACCTGTTTGGAAAGCTGAAAAACTTATCCTGTTTCATTTAAGTATATATATAGAACTTTTAAGAACACAGCTGTGGCCAGGAGCAGTGGCTCACGCCTGTAATCCCAGCACTTTAGGAGGCTAAGGTGGGTGGATTACTTGAGGTCAGGAGTTCGAGACCAGCCTGGCCAACATGGTGAAACCCCATGTCTACTAAAAATACAAAAATTAGCCAGGCGTAGTGGCACGCACCTGTAATCCCAGCTACTCAGGAGGCTGAGGCAGGAGAATCACTTGAACCCGGGAGGTGGAGGTTGCAGTGAGGTGAGATGACACCACTGCACTTCAGCCTGGGTGACAGAGCAAGACTCTGTCAAAAAAAAAAATCAAAAAAAAAAAAAAAAAGCCACAGCTGTACTTAAGCTCCACTGAGGATACATAAGCACAAACACTTAAATGAGGGAGACTTGGACTAGAAAAATTTCCTAAAAGTACTGATTACGAAGCATTAGCAATCATAACCATGAATTAACAAGGATGGCTATAGAACAGCTTTTAAAAAGGGTCTTTGAAAATATGACATGAATTGTTTTATGGCATTCCACTTTAAAGAATGCAGTTAGAATAGATGCCTTAACATCATTTGTACTCTGTAATCTACCACTGGATTTAAAAGTTTCCTTCAATACACTTTTAGATCTGTTACAGTAGAGAATTAAAGAATGTTATACAAAATCATTGTGTAATAAAACTTCACTAACATCATTAAGAAGAAACTTATTGGCCAAGTTGATGAAAAATGTAAATAAAGTGTCTAAACTAATAAATATTTAAGTCAACAGTATCCTATATTTAAGGCTACCAATGACGTACCTCTAAAAATATGATTTTCTCCATACCCACCTATAAAAAGAAAAATCAAGTGTTACCACATAATAACTTCAAAATTCTGGGCTTACCTTTTTTTTCTCCAGTGTAGGGCACATAGTCTTCCCTGTCTTTATGCTCCAATGCTTCCTTCTCCAGATATGAAAGGAGATGCTCTCTATCAAATGGCCCTGTGGCGGACTTTGATGTCTGGTTCTTCTGCCGGAACCCTGCAGGCAGAAGGGCATTCTGCCAGAGAGAATGAATCAGCCAGTATGACCAAAAAGAATGCTAATGCTATATGCTTCCGAAGATTACCCATATAAAAAAGAATTACAGACCGGAATGTGATACAGGCACTAAACACTTCATTGCAGGATTTTAGGACAGCAATATACAACTGCTCCAAACATGAAACTTCTTTTTTATTAGGTAGAATTCACTTACATTATTATTAAAATAGGCACATACATTAGTACAGTTTCTTTTCTTTTTGGAGACAGAGTCTCCTTCTATCCCCAAAGCTGGAGTGCGGTGGCACAATCTTGGCTCACTGCAACCTCTGCCTCCTGGGTTCAAGCCATTCTCATGCCTCAGACTCCCAAGTAGCTGGGATTATAGGCGCCTGCCACCACACCTGGCTAATTTTTGCATTTTTGGTAGAGACAGGGTTTTGCCATGTTGGCCAGGCTATTCTACAACTCCTGACCTCAGATGATCTGCCCTCCTCAGCCTCCCGAAGTATTGGGATTACAGGCATGAGCCACCGCGCCCGGCATATGTTTTCTAATAGAACATTTTCTTCAGAGAGGATTCTACTAGCAGGAAACAATCTTTAGTTTTTAAGTGTTCTGGGATACTAATAAAAAAGTTTTATTAACCACATACCGCATCTTCTCACTTACCTAAGTGGGAACTAAATGATGAGAACACACGGACATATAGAGCACACACACTGGAGCATAGAGGAGGGAGGGTGGGAGGAGGCAGAGGATCAGGAAAAATAACTAACAGGTATTAGGCTTAATACCTGGGTGATGAAATAATCTGTACAACAAACCCCCATGACACAAGTTTACCTACGTAACGAACCTGCACATGTATGTCTGAACTTAAAATAAAAGTTTTTTTAAAAAGTTTTATTAATGCTTAATAATTGCTCAGTGTATATGTACAGAGAATAATTCTATTACAAGAGTGTTAAATGACTCTGTACATTTAAATGATTCCTTCATGACTTCCATTTCATTGCATAGACTTTTTCATGATTAAAACATGTATACCACACAGTAGAATATCAGATTGTTTACTTCAGTTTAAACACAATGTGAGATGTTCCACTTATGTGTGTATGCATACATATATACATGAGCACTAGGATGTACTTGCAACAATCACTATCATCGTTTCACATGCCCCAAGGGACCCCTGAAATACTCATAGCAAGAGCTATGTTCCTGGGTTTCCACATGGGTAAAGCTTTTGAGTGCATGGACTGACTTAGAGTTGAGAGAGGTGGAGTAGAAGGTGATGGATTAAAGTTTTCTCCTGTAGTCCCTTAATTTTCACTAAGCGCAGTAAACACAAGGGCTGACTAGACAAAGAAAGCACCGTCCTTTTGCTTGTCAAAAGCCAAAGAGGTGATACTGCCTTGTCTCCTATTTCTGGGTATATCTTTGCTTTGAAAATGGGAGGCAGCCAGAGAAATCACACAGAAGGGCCAGCCCTCTTTTGCAAAACCTCCCAATTGAATTTCATGCGTGGTATAAGACAATTTTTCATTATAAAGGGTAATCTTATAAGGGTAATGTTAATAGAAAATATTCAATTTGTAACTAGGAAATACAGTACTTCAACTGTGGTCATTTGTTGAGATACATAATAATTTTCATAAAATTCACCTGTGTTACCCTTTATGTAATGGTACCTACTACACAGAAAGCTGAACTATAAAGATGAAACACACAGGAGGTCCATTCCTAACTCTGTACCAAGTATATTTCTGTAATACAAAATTGTTTATGGAACCATAAAAAAGAAACAAAAGATTTCTACCTTTAGACTTAGAAATCAAGAGAGGAACTACACATGAAGAATCCATTTCCAATTGACCTGCAAACCCTACTCTTTTACTTCCTGAAGAACTCATTCATCTTTTTCCCATCTCCAACATTATTACTTTGGTCCAAACTATGATCCAAGCTTCCTGAGACTGTTACACTAGCTTCCCAACTGTATCAGTTGCCTGATATTTTTTATCCTTCACCACCAGCCCCTCAGTCTGTCACCCTAGGCTCATCTCATACATCCTCTCCATTCTAGTCACACTGGACTTTTTTTTCTCTCTTGTACTTGCTACATACTTCCTTCTACCACCAGGCCTCTATGTGGGTGGTCTCCCTTCCCTGGAATGCTCTGCCTATCCCTTTTTGCAACTCATTTTTCAGATTGTAGCTCCATTCCCCCAGGGAAGCTTTTCTTAACCTCTCATCACAAGCTCTTACAGTGTGTAGCATTTACCATTCTTTTAATATGGTATGATTATTTGATTAATGTCAAACTGCTCCTATTCCTACCAGCCTGCGTCATGAGGGCAAATACCACATTTGTTTTGCTCATTCTTGTATTCCTAAGCCTAGCATAGTACCTGAAATCTACAAGTTGTCCCCAAATATTTACTGAATAAAGTAAATGGTAGAATGCTTTTAAAAATTCTCATTAAGGCAAATTAATAAAAAGTTACTTTACTTCTCCATCAATAATAAAAAGTTACTTTACTTCTCCATCAATAATGCATAGATGTATATATTGCTATTTCATGGCGGTGGTAATGGAAGTTGCACTACTCTACCTGCCTGCTCAAGCCCATGCGACACACACAGTCTTAAATATGATAGCTGAAATCCTGGCTCCTTAGAAAGCCTTTTTTTCTTTCTTTCTTTTTTTTGGAGGGGAGACAGGGTCTTGCTCTATTGCTCAGGCTGGAGTGCAGTGATGTGATCATAGCTTGCTGAAACCTTGAACTCCTGGGCTCAAGCAATCTTCCTGCCTAGGCCTCTGGAGTAACTGGAACTACAGGCATGCACCACCATGCCCCGGCTAATTTTTATAATTTTTTGTAGAGGCAAGGTCTTGCTATGTTGTCCAGGATGGTCTGGAACTCCTGCTCTTAAGCAAATCTCCCGTCTAGGATTACAGGTATGAGCCACTATACCTGGCCAAAAACAGTCTAACCACAAACTAAATGACAGCTAGCTGGTTTTAGAGGCTATAAACCCATGAACCAAGCTTCATTAGAAATATACTCTAATCAAGTAAGCTAATAGATCATAATTACTTTTCAGATAAAAATTTTCTTTAATATGATTGTCACTAAAAATGACATGTTTCTCTCTTGTAGTGCAATTTTGCTGTAAAATATATTCCCAGCCTTCGGGGGTGGGGCAGGGGAAAGCTTTTGCTAGGCTGGCTGTCTTCTGGGGATAGATTTTTTTTTTTTTTTGGGCAAAAATGCAGTGAGTTAGCAAACACGTACACTGAATACAGCAGAAGGACAGTAAAACAGTCCTCCAAAATATAGGGTACCACACATACCTTCAACCTACTTCCTGAGACTTTGTAAGTTACAGTGGTGTTTCGCTGCTACTATCCTTGACCTCTTTTCTTACCTGGTTCTTTACCAGAATGCTTTCCAAAAACATGTCACCCAACAAACAGATGCTGTCATAAACATCATTGTTCTCCTAGTCTCAACTAACAGTATTGAGGTTAGGGGAGTTATGACTGGGGTTGGGGAGTTTGCAAAAGACATTTAGAGGCTAATCAAGCCTCCCCACACAAGAAGCAGGCCATGGATTTACAAATGAAAAATAAGCCATCAGATTTCAGACTGATACCATAGTGCATGAGTTGGGAGGAGACTCAGTGTGGTTTAACAGAAAGACTGCTAGACCGCCAGGTATCAATGAGGCAGTGAGGGACCTAGTCCCAGCTCTTTCCCTAATTGTAATAACTGAGGTAATTTCTGTTTTCCACCTGTAAAACAGAGGGCATGAACTAGATCAATGTTTCTGAACCAGTAGTGTTTTTGTCCCCTATGGGACATTTGGCAATGTCTGGAGACATTTTTGGTTGTCAGCTCAGGGGGAGGAGTATTAATCACGGTTTTCAGTCTGGGTAACATAACGAGACCTTGCCTCTACAAAAAATTTTACAAAGAAATTAGCTGGGTATAGTGGTGCTTGCCTGTAGTCCTAGTGACATAGGAGGCTGAGGTGGGAGGATCGCTTGAGCCAGAAGTTCAAGGCTGCAGTGAGCTATCATTGCACCACTTCACTCTTGCCTGAGGAACAGAGTGACAACTGGGCTCTAAAAAAAGTCATGTTTTTTATTTTCTGAGTTTTATGATGCTTTGACATCTTGGGGCCCTGCTAATCCTGGAGACCACTCCTTCCAGGGCTAGCTAGAGAGCACTACTCCCTACCAACCTCACCCGGAACACACCTTTCATATGCAAACCAACCAATTCTCCTAACCACCTCTTTTTTATCTAATTCTCACTTACCAAGCCAGTATTTCCCCTCCCCCTAAATCACCCAGAGCCAGATACTGGACAACTAGAGACTACTTACATAGCCCTGAGCCTGTTAAAATTATTCAAACTATCTAGTCCTAAACTTGTTAAAATTTGCCTATCCTGACTCACCCATTCATTCCTATTGAACCACAATAAAGGCCCTTGGCCATGCTTGTTCCTTGATCCTTTTGCCTCCTGACCAACCTGGGTGCTTCCCCATGTGCCTCTGTGTGGCATGGTGTGCCTCCTGCTCTTGGAACTGTAAGTAATAAACCCTTCTTTCAAGGAAGTAGTTTCAGTGTCTGTCATCCATTACCAAACCTGATTAAAACAACATCCTAGGAATATTTTAAAACAGGAGGAGTGTGCTACTGGCCAGGGATGTTGTTAAACATCCCTCCAATGCACAGGACAGCCCCCCTACAACAAATTATGCAACCTCAAAAGTAAATAGTGTCAAGATTGAGAAACCTGGACTAGGGACTAGATAAAGTCTTACGCTTTCTCCAGTTCTGTTATTTATTTATTTATTTATTTATTATTTATTTATTTTTGAGATAGCCTTGCTCTGTCACCCAAGCTGGAGTGAAGTGGTGCAATTTCGGCTCACTGCAACCTCCACCTTTCTGGTTCAAGCAATTCTCATGCCTCCGCTTCCCAAGTAGCCTGGGATAGCCTGAGACTACATGCATGCACCACCACGCCCAGCTAATTTTTGTATATTTAGCAGAGACGGGGTTCACTATGTTGGCCAGGCCGGTCTCGAACTCCTGGCCTCAAGTGATCCACTCACCTCGGCCTCCCAAAGTGCTGCGATTATAGGTGTGAGCACTCGTCCACTTTTTCCAGTTCTAAAACCATTTGATTCAAATAGGTCTAATAGATTGAACTGCCTACAGAAGATATTGCTGTGATGTGATAAAAACAGCACTGTTATCCTGAGTAATCCCCCTCCAATTAGGTGTACTGGGAACTTTTCCTTATAATAGTAATTATGGTTAAGGGACTTGATCTATGGTATAGACACATCATCCAGTAACAAGAACAATGTTATAAAATGAACTCCATCTCAGTCCTTAGAGGATACTTAAAATCAACATCTTGGCATAAAGAAATGTGGTAAAGAAAAGAAGCCTAGCAAACAACCATTACCTTCAGGACCTTCAGGTTCTTACCTCACTGCCCCTCCCCCGACATATCAGGGAATAACAATTCAAGGGTCATGGGTGTCTATCTAAGCCTTGTGTAATTTATAAGACAAACAACATCCACCTTGCAAGTTAAAGCTTACATACATATATTCAGGTCTGCTCCACAGTGGACTGCTGTATTGTCAAGAAATTACTTAGATCTATTCTTCCAATGACTGGAAACTTAATCGATTGGGTCAGCATCTTTCAGAAAGGGAACAATTAGATTTAGGGTCATGAAGAATCTTTTAGAGGCATTCTACACTGGAGCCACCTGGCATACAAACTCGGAAGAGACAGAAGTTGGCGTGTATCAAAAAGGTAATCATCTGCTGCATTGTACTAAAAATATCCCTGCCTGCACAGAGGAGAAAAATTTCTCAGAGGAGGAAGAAATTTCAGGAGATGTTTGAAAATAAGGATACTGGAGTAGTTTAGGACAGTCATGTTAGTAAACATATGGAGGCAGAAGTGGGGAACTGGAGAGGAAGCCAAAAGCAAATTGATTTGGATAAAGAGGAGGGGGTAGAAGGTGCCAGAGAAAAGTCATGAAAAAGCTCAAAGGCAGCTACTGAGTTTCAAAGAATTTGAAAAGTTATTTCATTTCTCTTCATCAGCTAGCACCTACCTCTGGGTCAAGATCATCCAAAACAGTTTCCAGTTGTTTCAGTTCTGTTTCTGACAGATTCCCAAGGAGCTCATCTTCATCAAGGTCTTTGTACTTTTCTAAGTCCTTACGGAATGGCAGTGCCATGATTTACAGTGTAGCAAGTCACTTAATTTTTGCTGTTCAGTACAGTCAGAAGTGATCTCTACTTTTTCTTAAAGCTATGGAGAGAAGAAACAAAAACATTTTAAATAGTAAGTCATCTCCACCTACTTCGATCTAATTCTTAGGTTAAGTGAAATGTAATTTCCATATGTCATATATTCTCTGATCATATATCACATGCTATTCTTCTTTATGAATCATTCAATGTCCTTTGCCTTGTGTTGAAAAAAAAAAACCAGGAAAAAAGAGGGAAAAGATAAAACAAAATTCAAATCCATTAAGGCAGTCACTTGACAGAATTTAGAATTTCTAATAATTAAATTTTAGGGGGAAAGAAATTATATGCCAAAATAAAAGTTTTTCCATCAATGGTTTTCAAATTATTTTACCAGAGTACTTTGCTTCAGCACAATGTGTTTAAGGCACATTTGTTTTACTATATATTATTCAGGAGCACAATATGACTCAATATTAATATGGGGGGATATCAATACATTCCACATGACAGGAGTGGTCTCTTGCCACTAGGAAAAATTTTCTTTTGAAAAGATGCATTTGAAAATATTTTTCTGAGGTGTTTTTAAAGGAAAAAATATAGCATTCTGAAGATGTTTGAGTAAAATACTCAAAATCATGTTGGGATATGTCACCCACTGATTGACAAGGTTGGTCGGAGGGTCTGACTATGGGAAGGGACCATCATCGTTTCCTTATTGTGTGATCTCTCCTGGACAGCTATGAGGTTAATCAACAAGCAGGTTAATAGAAGCTCTAGAGACACAGAAGTTGGCATATATCAAAGAGCTAATCATCTGTTGATTTGGCAGGATTGTTCTATAGGAAAGGTGAAAAACCAAGGATTTCTCTATATTCCAGTCATATGTATGAACCATCTGTCTCATAAAATATACCTAGTACTGGGCCAGATGCAGTGGCTCACATCTGTAATCCCAGAACGTTGGGAGGCTGGGGCAGGTGAATCGCTTGAGCTCAGGAGTTTAAGAGCAGCCTCAGCAACATGGTGAAAAATATGAAACATCAGCCAGGTGTGGTGGTATACACCTATGGTCCCAGCTACTCAAGAGGCTGTGATGGGAGGATGGCTTCAGCCCAGGAGACAGAGGTTGCAGTGAGCTGAGATCATGCCATTAGACTCTAGCCTGGGTGACATAGCAAGACCTTGTCTCAAAAAAAAAAAAAAAAAAAAAAAAAGTACTTACTACCTATGGAAATAAATGGAAATACACTTTAGACTTAGTGATTTGGTTAAGTTTTTCTTGACTGCAAAATGCTCAGTACTTCAGTTTGACATATTTACTACTTCTTCCCTCAAGTTTTCTCAACTTAATATTTTAGTATGTTTTTCCTGCCAAACCAGTAACATTTTAAGGCTCCTTTGATGTGTTTCCATCTCCCATGAATGGAACTGTTCAAAGTGTTTAGAAAGGCAGGCTCACCGCAAGAGTCTGACAGTAACTTGACTAGCAACCACCTTAGGTCCAACAACAAGCAAATGGGGGAGCTTCCTGCATGTGTTTGTGGTTGAGAACCTCCCCATGGGGTTGTAGAGTTTGGACCTCATTGTAGAGATAATTCAGGAACACAAAGATCAGCTCCCCGAATTGGAACAGCTGGAGCACATTGGTCTGTTCAGTCATGCAGAGATTAAGGCTATCATTAAGAAGGCTTCTGATCTAGAGTAGAGAATCCAGGGAAGAGCCCTTTTCAAGGACGACTTTACCAATTATGTTCAATATGAAATTAATCTTTTGGAACAGATCCAGAGAAGAACATGCATTGGATATTCATTTAGAAAGGATGAGATTGAGAATTCTGTTGTACACGGGGTACAAGGTGTTTTCCGATGTGCCTCAGCAAAGAGGAAAGATGATATTCAACTTTGGCTCTCCTATGTCGTTTTTTTGTTTGTTTTTTGAGGCGGAGTCTTGCTCCGTTGCCTAGGCTGGAGTGCAGTGGCATGACGTCGATTCACTGCAACCTCTGCCTCCCAGGTTCAAGCAATTCTCCTGTCTCAGTCTCCCGAGTGGCTGGGACTACAGGTGCCCACCACCATGCCCGGCTAATTTTTGTATTTTTAGTAGTGACGGGGCTTCACCTTGTTGGTCAGGCTGGTCTCAAACTCCTGACCTCAGGTGATCCACCCACCTCGGCCTCCCAAAGTGCTGGGATTATAGGCGTGAGCCGCCGCACCCGGCCTCCTATGTAGTTTTTTGTAAGAAATGGGCTACTAAAACTCAACTTAGCAAGGTATTTTCTGCCATGTTGGCCATTCATTCCAACAAGCCAGCTTTGTGGATTATGGCAGCCAAATGGGAAATGGAAGACTGATTGTCTTCAGAAAGCACAAGGCAACTATTTCTTTGGGCACTGCACTTTCATCCAGAGGGCCCTAAACTTTATCAAGACTATTTTAGAATGAGGCTGATGCATGCTGAAAAACTGAGGAAGGAAAAGCAAGAATTTGAAAAAGCCAACATGGATGTGGAGAATCCTGATTATTCTGAAGAAATCCTTAAGGGCGAGTTGGCACGGATCATCTACGAAAATTCTGTAAGCATAATTTGAGGTGCAGAATTTCATGTGTCACTGCTTTCAACTGCACGGCGATTTGACTTTGCCAAAGGTCTACAAAAAGAAATTTAGGATGACCCTCAGGCTCTACACACAGATGATCTTCTCACTTGGGATTATGCGGCAAGATGAGAATTAGAGATCGAGCCACAGACGGGAGAAGAGCAGCCTACAACGAAGTAAGACAAAGCAGAGGAGGGCCAGAAGGAGGAGAGATGTTGCGCCGTATAGAAGCGGCAGTGAAGACTCTGCCAACGGAGGCCATGTGGAAGTGTTACATCACCTTTTGCTTGGAAAGATTTACTAAGAAGACAAATAGTGGGTTCCTCAGAGGGAAGAGGTTGGAAAGAACCATCACTGCATTCAGAGAGGCACAAGAACAAGCTTCTGCCAGAATTCCAATATAAGCAGTTAACTTGAGTTGTTGCTGTGCCATAACTTCCTGAGGGAAGCTCTGGAGGTGGCAGTAGCTGGGACTGAATTATTTAGGGACTCTGGGACAATGTGGCAGATGAACGTGCATGGGGTGATTGACTCAAAGAGCCCTGACATAGCCATGCTTTTTGAAGAAGACTCTGTGCACCTGAAACCCCAGGTTTGTCTGCCATTGCAGACTTCTTGGCAGAGCGGAGTGAAGATGCCAAAAGCCAAGAAGATACTGAGGCAATCTTTAAGAAAGTTCTCTTAGCTGTCACAGCTGCCAACTCAGTAACCCTGAAGGATAAGTACCTGGATTGGGTTTATCAACATGGTGGCTACAAAAAAGCCAGAGCTGTGTATACAAGTTTACAGGACAGCCATCCATTTTCAGTTGACTTTTTCAGGAAAATGATTCAGTTTGAAAAGGAGCAACAATACTGCAAGATGGTGAACATAAGAGAATATTATGAGAGGGCTTTGAGAGAGTTTGGATCTGTAGATTCTCATCTTTGGATGGATTATATCAAGGAACCACTGAACCACCCACTTGGTAGACCTGAGAACTGCGAGCAATGAAAATGTTGCAGGGAGAGTCAGCAGAGGCGTCTGTAGCTAAACATGCTATGGAGGCTGGCTGTTTGTGAAGAGGAAGAATACAGCCAGCTTTGTGAAACAGTATTGCAAGCCCTGTGGGCAAATATGTATTATGAGTCCATTTTTGTAATTTGTTCAGAGATGGCAGACAAGATGGCTGTCTGATTTCAAGACACACCTTAATTTTATGTTAACTTAATTTTTTTAAAAATTAAAAACTTTAATTTTTTGATTGAAAAAACTAATCATGATTGAAGACAGGGTCTTGTCCTGGCTGGTCTTGAACTCCTGGATTCAAGTGACCCTCCTGCCTCAGACTCCCGAGTAGCTAGGATTATAGGCACAGGACACCATGCTCATGATGCACTAATCTCTAATTCCAGGAAAGAGAACTGCTGATTTAATGTTGAGATGTTGAGGCCAGATCTACCATAGGTCCTAAATGTTTTCCAGAATACATGGAAAGCATACGACTGGGTTTTACCTATCCCAGTTCAAGCATGAGTATCTCTAGCTAGGAGCCAGCTAAAATGAAGGAGAAAGTACAGTTTTGTTGGTTTATTCTCATTATAAAAGATACATGTTATGCATTTGTTCTGGAAAATATGGAGGAAATAGAATAGTGTGTCAAAAAAATAAAAAACCTGTAATCATAGGAAAAAAAAAAACCAAGCAAATGAAGAGAATTTGTTTATGCAGATATTACATTGCAGGCAACTTGTGTAACTGCCCAAGACAGGTCTGGTTTACACCTGTTTTATTGGCACCTCTTCTGGTTTACTGGTTATCTTGAAATTTTTTTCTTTTTTTTTCTTTTTTTTTTTTTTTTAGCAAATTATTATCATTGTCATTACTGTTTGTTAAGCCTCCATTTTGTACTTCCAACTTTAAGATAGCAAGCTTGGCCAGGCACAGTGGCTCACGCCTGTAATACCAATACTTTCGGAGGCTGAGGTAGGAGGATCACTTGAGCCCAGGAGTTTGAAACTAGCCTGGGTAACATAGTGAGACCTCATCTCTATATAAACTTTAAAAAAATAGCTGGGCATGGGGGCACACACCTATATTCCTAGCTACTTGGGAGGGTGAGGTAGGAGGATCGCTTGAGCCCAGGGGTTTGAGGCTGCAGTGAGCTATGGTTGCGTCACTGCACTCCAGCCTGGGCAACAAGGTGAGACCCTCTCTCTAAAAATAAATAAATAAATAAATAAGCAAGCTTACAAGTATATTTACAGTATATTTTCTCCATTAAAAAGAATACAGTCTGCAGAGAAGATTCAATGGAAGATATCAGCACTTTCCAATATAATAGCCATAAAATGTAATTTTGAAGAAGGTAAACCTTTTAAGGGACAAAAATAAAAAATAAGACCACTCAAAAAAATTTTCCCTTTATAAAAATACCAATGACATGGTATTTCAGACAGATAAGGGTAAGAAACTGATAAAA